CTTAAATCCATTTCCCCTTGTTCTGTCATTAACTGCCCTTATGAAAAGTCCTTCCCCATCTTTCCTGCTCACCTTAGCTAAGAACGCCTGGCTCAGCTGCACTGTCTGCAGCTTTTCTGTAAAAAAAGACTTCCTCACAGAGTCCAGTCTCTGTTGCAGGTCAGGATCTTTCAACCACCACATCCAACAGAAAACATTTTCAGCAACTCTCACAAATTAGAGGATGAGAGAGCTGTGACTCTTCAGACTGGAGAAGAGAAGACCGAGAGGGGATCTGATCAATGTCTATAATAAATATCTGAAGTGTGGGGGCCAAATGGATGGGGCAGGGCTTTTTTCAGTAGTACCCAGTGACAGGACAAGGGGCAATGGGCAAAAACCAGAACACCGACAGTTCCACACAAACATGAGAAAAAACTTTACTGTGAGGGTGCCGGAGCCCTGGGACAAGCTGCCCAGAGAGGCTGTGGAGTCTCCATCTCTGGAGATGTTCAAAACCCATCTGGACACTTTTCTGTGCAACCTGCTGTAGGGAACCTGCTTTGGTAGGGGGGCTGGACTAGATGATCTCCTGAGGTCCCTTCCAACCCCTACCATTCTGTGATTCTGTGAAATTTCTGGATGCAGCTGAAACTATAGATCTGAAAAGGAACAAAGAATAGCTTACAAAAATCAGGAGCCATATTGAATATATTTATATAAGCCCAAGACACGTTGAGTACTTGTTAATGTTTTAAAATACCTAGCTTTAAAATCTCTCTTCTTTACATAAACCACCGTCTTGCCAGTCACTTCAGGCTGTATTCTAGTCATCAAAACACAGACTTCCCTGTAGGCTTTCCTATCTGTCCTGAATATTAACTCTCTGGTTTCATAACTTGTTTGAGTCCATTCTCACAAACAAAATGATCAACCAGCTTCCATGTTCTGTTTCCTCAGTCACTCCCATCACTAACTTCCCCTACTCACTTTCCATAACTCGTAACATGCACACACACAAGCTCTTTTCCTGGGCACTCTTCTGATCAAATCTTGGTTTTCTTTTAATTATTCCACTGCCTCTGACAACAAATAAAAGCTCCATTTCAAATGTCCTTTGTTACTCTATCTGTACCACAATGTGAAATTTTGAGTTTTCAGCAGAGATATAGGAAACCACTTTAGGGAAGGTGAAATGTCTGTAAGATTTTGCACACACAAGACACATCATAGCACAAAATTTCACAGAAGTAGGAACTACATGAACTTCCCACACACCCTCAGCAAATCCACATAATAAGATATGTGGATTATCTACACATATACACAATTATTGATTTGGTATTTGAGGTACTGAGCTGCATTTTAAAGCAACTCAAGTGCTTTTCCTTGGTCACGTATGTTCAATATGCACCACCACTTCTGATAAATTCTCACCAGGAGCATTCTCTAAGAGACGTAACCCCAAACTCATAATGCTTCCAAAAAAAAAAAACCAAAACAAAACCCAAAATAACCAAAACAAAATGAAACCACCAAAACCATCTGTATTAACTCAAGACGCCTTCTAGAGCTTTAAAAACAATGTTACATTATTTTAAAACCATAGTAGGGAGCTTTTTATATATGCACACACAATAGCTTAATAAAATACATAATTTCACCATCTTCCAAAAGGATTTTAATTGAGGGGTTTTTTATTAGAATACATTAATTTTAAATCAAAGCAAAGCCCTTAAAGCATAAGATTAACAATTATGAAGATATTTCTAAAAATCTATTGCAAAAATTACAAAAAAAAAATTAAATCCCACTAGTACCCACTATTGCACTGGAGTCAAGCTGTAACAAAGCTTGATGTGACAGAACCAGAACATCCCCTTAGCTTCTCAAAAGTAAAAAGTTCAAACAAACCTTTGTTTCAATAGAAGTGCAAGCATCTATTTTTGTTTCTCCATTGTCCAAGATACTTGGAACGGAGATACGAAGCCATTTTCCTTGAGCAAGACTACAGATGTGAATGTGTAATACCTTAATTACAGTGGTTACATAGAAGTTCAGGTTAATGAGGAACATCAACCCAACTATTTTCAGTTTCTAGCAGTTAATGACAGACTAGGAAGACCATAACCAAACTCCTTACTAAGAGAAAACAATCACAGCGTTGAGTCCAGGGCTGAGCATTTCAGAATTAGACATGAAGACTACTATAAACTTCCAACAAGAGAACTACTTCCATTTAGAATCTGGTATAATCAATAACACATTTTGATCATATCTTGATCCTCAGTCATAGTATGGGGATGCAGAGATAGGCTAGTATTTCCTGACTGGGAGTGTACCTAGCATGCACATACACTTCCACAGACATGTCACACAGCTGCTTATCACCAGATTAACATTATTTTGCATTTCAAATATACTGTTTTAGCAAAGATCTCATTTATTTAAGAATGTGGTGGTTTCACTTGGATAGCAGCCAAACACAGTTGCTCACTCACTCTTCTGCCCAGAGGGAACAGGGGAGAGAATTGGAAACGTAAAAGTGAGAAAACTCATAGATTTAAATAAAAATAATTTACTAACTGAAATAAAATAGTAACAGTAATAACAGAATATGCAAATAGGTGATGCACAATGCAATCACTCACCAACTGATGCCCAGTCCTTCCCCAGCTAGTGATCCCAGAGCAGAGAGAGCGCCAAAACCAAAACTGCAGTTCCAGAAGAGTGAGCCTGAATGACCCGAGAGAATGCCCCCATTTTCCAGTCAACTATTGTTAATATACTGACATAGAATCACAGAATGGTTTGGGTTGGAAGGGACCTTAAAGATCATCTAGTTCCAACCCCCCTGCCATCAGCAGGGACACCTTCCACTAG